CGTGTGGCCTGACTCGGAGGCGTGCGCGATCGGACGGATTTCTTAGGCTCCGTCCTAACATAGACAATCATCTAACTGGTAGCTCTGCTATGCGCAACACGGAGACGCGGCAACTAGTGTGCAGCACCACTAGCCGCAAAACTTAAATTAAGTCATCTAAGCATATCATAAAGGTAGTTTGTGCAACGATAATTAAAAATTATGATTGGAACATTGCTGCTTTGTTGTATTTGTGCAAAAAGTATAACTTGGTGTAATCACATAGCGCAAATGATACATATTTACTGGAATGGCGGATTCGAATTGCGGCTCCCTCGGAAAACATTGATATCAATAAGACGCGGGAAGATTTACTTGTCTTTTGTGATAAACGATAATTGAGTAGCACGATCTTGAATAGTTAGCGAGTGGTTCATCATGAATTGCCCAGCCGGCAAGCAAATACATAAATGAAAAGCCAAGTAAGGAGTGTCCGGCAGTTTCAAACTTGAAACGACTTAGCAACAGTTCATGTCAACCAAACATGCCTGGACAGGAATCCAACGCATTTCAAAACTGTCATGCAACACTGAAGTAAAACCAACCGCTGAAGACAGACCGAGTATCGACCTAGCAGCACAATGTGGGATTCACAGTTATGTATACTGGGATCCGAACCATCACAAGCATTGTGGATATTGCACCACTGGTACCATCGATAATAAGCACTAAGGAGTTGTACAATGCTTTCAAGGTTCCTCTGAAGACACGTTGACAGAGCAAGACAAATCACTTCCTGATCATCAATATGTCAGATATGGTTCAGTGTTTCTGTTCCATACGCATGCGCCGAGTACATCACGCACTCAAACGGATTCATTCAAAATGAAGTGATACGGGAAAAGCCGTGCAGTCAAACCTGATGCTTACTTTCTTCTGACTTTGCCGGATTGCGCCTAGCCACTGCTCGGTTGATACCGTTTTCAAGCCCTGAATACAGCCACCAAGTCCGGATTCTTGAATTGCATCCATAATGCACACCTGTACGTGGCACAGTACATCCAACACGTCAGTGAACGCAACAGTTTGACAGGCGGCAGCCAGCACAGCTTTCACGGACTGAGTGAGAGTGCTTCGAACACACTGGATTTCACCCAACCATTTGGCAGCCTCGACCTGGATAGGTGAACGGGTTGAACACATGAAACGAACAGGTGATATATGAAAATTAGCGCAATCGATTTTTCGCATACCGGTTTAATTGATGATGTCAGAAAAATCAGGGAAGAAGGCCAAAGGGCAAGGATACAAGAACTAGATGGCAGTGACCATGTAATGCGATCTCAGTTGTGCAAAAAACAACTTGGAACGTGATATATTTATTATTAATAAGTATTATTTCCTTTCTTTCATACTTTCTTCTTTCTTTGAGAGCAAAAACGATTTTCCGAGAAACGAAAATCAAAGACCAGAATGAGCAGGAAATTAGGTGACAGTGGAGAGATTACATCCCTCAACTGAAGCGATGGCCACCCCTGGTGCGTGGTCAAGGTCACTATTACCTCAGAAATGACCTGAAGATCTTTTCAAGAGAAAGTAGTATACGTTTGTCCTGGTTACTAGTACCCAGTTTACAGAAATATCTTATCACTAAATTTTCCATCTAGTCTAGAGTAAACCACAAAGGAAGGTGGAGAAAAAGATACAGAGATTTCGATGCACTTCGACGCATCTCGTAACTCTGCAACCCAAGCATCTGAGCAACAGTAAAATCTGGTTCATAAAGGAATGCAATTGTGTTTAAATCTATTTATACAAGATTAAAGCCAAACATACGATCATATCCTCCTCCTAAATGAAAAGATTCACCTCGTTAGATTTCTCTTGAGAAACCTCCAACCCATGTGACGAAAGTTTCAGTTATTACAGCCACTAACCAGGCAACTGAGTGCATTGGTTTTAACTGATGTCTTTTGGTTGCCCATTAGAATGAAAAGGTAGAAGAAAGGTTGGAATATTGAAAACAGTGTCAAATTAAACTAAGAATACAAAGAGCCTGGAAAGATGTACGAGCCGAATTCTCCCTACGCCTGGTAAATAACCGTAATAAAGCCACGGGTAATGGATACTCACGATACAGTGTCCATGGTATTTGCAAAGCAGCCTTCGAAGCGGAGCTCTCCGATCGCCTATCAGTTCAACCATCAGCCACAAGACCCAATGAAAAGTGGACGTTAATCAAGGAATCCAACCAACTAGCAATTTAAACAACGGCAGACCCTGGTGCAGGCTCAAAGCACAAACGACGGACCTCGGTTGCCCTGCTGGACCCCAGAAAAACTCCTCCGCCACATATGACACAGCGCGGAAATCCCTCAAACTCCAGTTCATCAAGAGTCTGAGGAATGACCGCGAGAATTGGTGCGCAAGAAGGTGTAAAGAGATGGAGAAAGCTGTGACTATTGATAATATTTGCAATCTTTACCGTCTAATTAGGAACACCGGCTCCAAGAAAATGGGCGTGAGGTAACTAAGGAATCTGAGGCCACGCCGATTCGTCATCAGCAATGCTGTCTTGATTGATGGGCTGAATATTCCGAGGCTCTGTTCAACTGATCTCCATCGACATCGGACTTATCAACCCTCCCCCCCCCCTTGGACTGGACAAATACACCCAGTTGAAGCCAGTCTTCCATATAAAATGGCGGTTTCTCGGGCAAAACCTTATCATAAATGGCATAAGCCCTCCAGCCCAGATGGCCTACTCACATCCGCGTTGAAGGATGGAGAATCAGCGTTAGTCTTGAAGCTCACGAAACTGCTGGGCGCAATATGGGAGGGCGAAGAAGTTACAAGTGAATGGTGTGAATCGGTCATCTTTTTGTTTTAAGATAATGGTGACGGATCCTCGTGTGAAAATCACAAAGAAATTAGCTTAATCAACATCATCTCTAAACTTCTCGCAGATGTTATGTTCCGTCGATTGTCTGTCGCACGTGAAGAGTGTACACGTGAGAACGGTTTCAGACCCGGTCGAGGTTGTATCGATCGCATCTTCACTCTTCGTCAAATTCTAGAACACAGACGCTCCGTTCTGAGACCCACCATTTCTATCTTCCTGGATCTGAAAGCGGCTTTCGACACAATCGACCGCTCCAAACTCCGGAGCTTCCACACTTTGAACGGTGTGCCCGAGAAGTTTATTTCAATAATACGATCCCTTTACACTAACACTCCGAGCCGAGTCCGAGCTTACGGCACTTTTTCATCCGAGTTCACTACAGAAAGTGGTGTTCGACAGAGTTGCCCTCTTTCTAAGTTTTTATTTAACTTCGTCATCTATTTAGTTCTTTAAACAATCCTATCCTCGTGCGAAGATAGCAGTATCGATTTACTCCCAGGTGACAGACTGTCTGATCTAGAGTATGCAGACGACATTGTGATGCCAAGTGAAGATCCAGGTAAGTTGCAGGCTTTTCTGGATCACATAAGTGCCAGCGTAATCGTGTTGCGTGTGCGCTTTGCACTACAAGATTGGGTTGATCCAGCCCCCAACCTCACTCTGACCGAGGAAGTAGTAGAGGAAGTAGACAAGGTTTGCTATCTAGGCAGCTATATCTCATCTGGTGGGCGCATCACAGATGAAGTGTCGGCGCACATACAAAAGGCTCGGTTGGCATTTGCCAACTTGAGATATCTGTGGCGCCGTCGCGACATCCGGCTGTTTGTGAAGGGTCGAGTATATGCTGCAGCAGTTCGACCAGTACAGCTGTACGCTGCAGACTTGGCTATTACGGGAACAGGATAAAAATAGACCGTCAGTGTTTGAACACCGCTGTCTACGTCGCATTGCACGCGTCTGGTGGAGAAACCGGACGAGCAATGCTGAGGTTAGGTGTAGAGTAACGGCAGTCGTCCACTGGAGTTAACAGTCGACCTCCATGGATTACACTGGCTGGGACATATGTTGCGCAGGTCACCAAGTAGTTGCCGAGGCGTGCGATGGTTGCCGAGGCAGGTAGCGGATTGAGAAAGGTCAAGGGTGGTGAAACTAAGACCTGGCATGAGACCATGAAAACCCTTACCAGGAGACTCAGAAACATAGGTCCCGTTAGGCTCCCTGGATGGGGACTTGAGGATCATTGTAATCAATGATTACAGACACTGATTGATATGGCTGAGTGTCATAAACAGTGGCGTTCGAGCATCTTCTCAATTTCTTTGCAACCTTAGTTCACCGAAATTCTTCATTTTCTCTGCGACGCTACATTCAACTTTTCTGTCTTTCTCCAACTGCGTCATCCAAATGAGTATCCCTAAAGACAGCAACCAGAACCGGCGCATGAGTGTGCACAATTGTTCAACGTGATACTGGTTACGCTGATCCCGAAGTACGCATCCAGGATGCTTAACGCGACCTATATGACCGAGTCCCCTAGTTACAGTTTTCTTATCCTCATGCACATGTATGCTCGCTGTTTCACGATCGTAGGTTGTGCACCACTTCTGTGCAGAAAGAAAACATTGCTGACCATTCATGTAACCATACGGTTGCATGCAAGCCTTGTGTTGCTGGGATTTCATTAGTATTCTAGTCTGTCCTTTGCGCATACCCACAGCTGGTCAATGTTAAACAAGTGTTCTAAATATACAGAACGATCGCATTAATGTTCACCGGATACCTAATGGCTCTGTGCATTTCTTCATGCCTCGTCTCCACATAGTCTGTTGACCTCCACGTGGTTTCTTCCAGCCTGGATTAGCTACGGCAAAGAAAGCGCGGTGCGGCAGACGACACCTGGGCATACGCAATATTTACACACTGCCACTGCCTGTACACAGACACGTAAACAGATTACTTGTGTCCATTGGATTTATCCATTTATTGTACGCTTCATTTTGATTTTGTTTTTGCGATTGTGTACCATGACCAACTTTTTCCTAGCTGGTGTCGCTACACAGTTAGGATTCGGCTTGAGACACACGGTGTCCGCACAGTTGTTTTACTTTTCGTTTTTTTGTCTAGCTTCGACACCAAAATTCTAGCCATTAACCCCTGTTGATCGAAGGCTTCCTACGACACTCTTCTTGAGGGTGGGGGGGGGTGATGTAGTGGTTTCAGGCCGACAATGTAACATGCTCAAAAGTTGTCACCATATTTGGTCTGCCTAATCTGCATGTATACTTGCGCATGTTTGCAGGCATTGGTTGTTTGGAGCATCTTGCTCGTGTATCCTTCTCCTTTGTAGCATGGATTCCGCCGGATCGTGGATATCCTGAGACCGCTTCTTTAGCTAGGTCTTTCATCTTTGTTTAAGTCAATGTCACCGCCACCCAACTTCGGTGGTAAACATCCTTGTTGTCGTCCGGTTCAATACCACACCTAACTTATCGGGGCCTTATGCGGTTCGTCACTCAAAGTCCCGGCTTTCTGTTCACAGATGTTGGTCTCTCCTAAAGGAGTCAGACGTCGAAGTATAACCGAAGATAGCACGATCGGGATCAAACTGATCCCGCAGTGGCTTTTGCAATCGTTGCGGGATTCTTTCTTGAAAATGGGAACAATCAGTGATTCGCCCCAAGATGAAGGAATGTGTTCTTGTGTCCAAATGTTGCACAGTAGGGTAGTAATAGAGCTTACGAGGTTATTGCCCCCATCTTGAAAAGAGTGGGAGGGAGCTCATCCGGTCCTGCTGCCTTTCCTCGCTTCAGGGATTGGATGCAAGACCGAACTTCTGCTTCTGCTGGAGAGTCGCATGACACTGCCCACGGAGCTTCAGTTGCAGATGAAGCAGCCTGGTTAGCACTAGACCAGCTGAACTGTTCGCTGAAGTATTCTGCCCAGCGATCAAGTCGTTCATCCCTATTGTGAATAGCTTGTCCCCTTTTATCGCAGACTGTTTTTACTAACTGAAGTTCGCCGATTGCGTATCAGTCGGAACAGTCTTTAACTATTCCCTGATATAGCTGATGCTTCCATTTCCCTAGCTATTGTTGCCCACCAGTTCTCACTGTCCTTCTTGAGACTTTTCGTGAACTGACGT